TAATTCATACGAAGGATTTCCACCACTTTATATAACAGCTGGTACACATGAAATATTAATTGATGAAATTCGTGATATGACAACGAAAATAAAATTAGCAGATGTAGAAGTTATATTAGATGAAGGTAAAGGATTGATGCATACATATGCTTTATTTCATATGTGGTCACCACAAGGCAGATGTGTTCAAGAAAAAATTCGTCAATGGACTCAAGAAAAATTGTCAATTGGAATGCAATCAAAATTCAATATAAATAATAGAGTGACAATAAATCCAGAGTGTATTTAATAGTCAAGATCAAGATCTCTTGATTTGATTTAGATTTGGATAAATTCATAAATGGTTTAATTTTTGGTGTCAGATAAAATTGAGATTTAGTCAAAATAGAAGAAAACGTTTAATAGATTCAATGACTTGAAAAAACAAATCGAAAAAAATGAGAAGAAAGTACTGATGTTGTATATTTATATATAATTATGTTTAAATGTAAATAAACTCTAGCTCAAATCTAAGAATTTGTAATGTTCGGAAGTGTTGTCAAGTGAAATCTAATTTGTTTTATCAAGCTTCGAGTATAAAAAACGAATCTTTAAGCTTATGTTTATCGTTATATTAGCTTTTTAACTTCATTGGACATCACAATTGCTTTTTGAGGTATTACTCACAACGCAAAAAGATGTCGATGGAGTTTTAGTAGGAACTACCACAGCTATTGTACTAAGTAACAAAATTGTAGAAAGCTGTTAAAATGGTGTTCATATTGAATAGGTCGCATCAAATATGATCATGAAATAATTTTTAGAAGAAAATGAATTATCTTGCACAAGATCTTGCTAACAAAATGTTTCATTAGGATTATCTATTCAATAATGAAGAAAAACAATAGATAATAGTATATCTTCTTATGCTTTTTAATTTCAATTTAACTTTATATATTCGTTATTAAAATCTTTAAAGTTATTCAACGAATATTTACGAAACAAATATTGTTTTAAAACTTCAGACAGTTAGACATAGGACTATCTTATATACTAAACTGTAGAATAAAGTATACGCTATATTTATTCCATCTATTCTATGAAAAGAAATCAATTTAAAGTACATCATATTACTAGTTTTAGACATTTTCATATTTATATATGTGTAAAGTACGAACGATGCTATTCTATTATTGTTTAGACTTATATCTTTCTTTTTTCATGGCAATCCTATAGTGGAAATAAAATTGCAACTCAATACATTTTTCTCCCTGAAAACTTTTGTTGCTTAGTGGATTTTTCGAGAGTGTTCTGATATTTGAAGCGTACATTTATGATTTTTACAGATACCAACATTTGTATATACTTGTGGATTTTTTTTTATGGTAGTACAAACGAGTTGAGACACAGCCAATATCCATCCCGTATCTGGTTAAAAATTTAATTTTTCGTCCGACCTATCTCTGGTTGAAATGTAATAAGTTGTAACCTTGACTATAGTTTATTTTTTATATATTTGTTGTTCGTTTGAATGTTATTTCAAATTCGAACATAATACTCTAAAGATTGATTTCATCAGTAACAAACCGTAATATCACCTAAACTAACAAAATAAATACCAATACAAAAGCAATTTTCGACTTTTTCGATTAGTTCTCATAATACTTATTTATTCATATAACTTGAATTATGAATGAAATATTATCAGTGGCTCTTTTTCCTCGAACATAATTAGGACATTGCACTGTATGAAATTCCTTATCAAATAAAAATTAGAATGAAACAATTAATGTTTCATATCTGTGATGAAATATGAATATAAGCATAGTACCTTCTCTTAGGCAAAATATATACATTAATTTTCTGCAAACTATGTCGATATGACATGCGAATTTCTTGCTATACATTTTAGCTATTTAAAATTACAAGTGCAGGACCGCTATGGTTGAATGATTACATTGTCTGGTATATACTCTGAAGATAGTATGTCCAAATTTCGTCATTATTAGTCTGAAATAAGTTTGATGTCACGCTGCCTATATAGTGATATACACCGACCCTCTTACCTAATTTGTGGTTAGTTATTGTGTACGAGGAAGGTCAAGAAATTAAGCAAGCAAATTCTGAGTCATGTCGAAATTCTATTTAGAGCAACAGCTAGTAATAGTTGTTGAAAAAGTATCAGATTAATGAAACTGTCTCCAAACAGTATTCTATGTTGTTAAAATGACAGAAAGACAGAAAATTCCTGTTAATATGATTTAATATTAGTAAATTAAAAAGTTTGAGCAAAACCTAATCAAACAAATACCATTCCAACTGTAATAACTTTTCTAGATAAGAAAAATTCTAACAAAGTTAGATGTTTTTTCTTTGCTTAAGCAAGCTAAACTAATTTTAATCGATACGAGTTTTAATAGACTATACCTTCGCTGAGAAATTAAATTCTTCTTACAATGGAAGGATATGTATTGAGATCTATGATATATACAGACTGAAATATTCGAATTTTAAGATATTTACAGTGTATGTTATGTGCCAACAGTTTAGTAGGATTTTTTTCCCTCGTGTTACACATTTGTTTGTACTATTGCTGGTCTAGTGCACATTATACTAGACTATCTACTGATGGTTTTTGTCTAGTTTGAACCGCATAAGAAAAACATCCTTCCATTATTAGCGAGAAAATATATACCCATTTCAAATAAGTACGATCGTAAATAGCCGTTTAATATAATCTTTTCCCTGTTTGGTAGACGCAATATTACCAATGTATTTCATTGTATACTCGATTTCCAGACCGTTGGACAATCGTTATCAACTGTATATTGCACAATAAAAGTACGGTCATAATACTACGCATATCAAGCACCAATTTACAATTCCAAAGTGTACGAAACGACAGTATAAATTACTGTTTTTGGTCGTCTCATCCTGCTTAGCCAAACTATTTTCGAATGAATTTTTTAGTGATTAAAAATATTCGAAACATTAAACAATTTTATATTATCTATTAACAAAATTCCTTAAAAATGATTTATTTCATTCCATTAGATATGCTTACTGCTAAACAGATGACGCTAATAAACGGAAAATTTCTTTATTAAATTTTATTTTAAAAATAATCAAAATACTTTATGAATCTTTTCAAAAAAATATCTTTTGAAAATTTTTTCTTTAAAAATTTTTTTATAAATATAATAGAAAATAAACACTGGATACTAATCAATCTACCAATCGATATACAAATAAAAATACCTTGTTCTATCAGTATTTTTTTAAAAATTGTTTTCAAATTTAAACATGACTACTCCGCCAGCTGTTTCTACTACAAGATCAAATGTAATATGATTGTTTTTGTATTTTTCAATATCAAATCTTCAGTGACCAATCTAAGGTTTTGAAAAGGAGGGGCGATCATAATCATAAAACATATTTTTAGGTCCATTAGAAATCATATCGATTCATTTTTTAGACATTTT